ACATTCACCTCAATGTGACTTTATTAATTTATTTAAGTTTACTTTTTTTTACATCCTCTCAGTTATATAGTCTTATGAAGCCATTACTTTTTAATTATAAAATACACTGTGGATAAGAACTGTGTTTTACAATCAACACCTACTACAACTATATCATCCCTTTAATATGTCCGTCCTCCTGGGCCTTACTTCTGCATGGGGCTGAGCTCCACCCTGACGATCAGCTCCGTCTTTGCCGGCATGTTCTTGAACACGTCGACCTTCAGCCTCCGGAGCATGTGAGGGCCGAGCAGGTCGTGAAGCTTCTTGATCTGGTCCTCTTTCGAGATGTCGGCAAACTCCTCCAGGAAGCCTTCCAGGTTACTGCACAAGTCACATTAAAAACGAAGCCACAGTGAAGACGGGACCATTTCTCGTGTCTCAAGATTTAGTGATGGATTTATTTAAGGAGGGAACAGCAGCGAAGATCAAAAAATGAAAAGATGGAGAGTGGAATAAAAAAGCAAGGGAATCAAGATGATAGGCAGAGGAGAGGAAGGTCTTACTTGAAGCGCTCCGGGGTGAGGAAGTTGAGCAGGTGGAACAGCTCCTCCAGGTTGTTCTGAAGAGGCGTCCCAGTCAGCAGCAGCTTGTAGTAGATCTTATACCCGTTAAGAATCCTAAAGAACTGGACAGGACGTGTTTTGTACAGAATATGATTAAAAGGATGTGGCCAATATACGAATATTTATCTCTTAGATTACAGTGGTGGACAAACATTTCCCACTTCTGCTCTTTTTTGAATCCAACATTCAATGGATTTTACTATTTAGAGGCTGTTGTACCTTTGATTGGTTGTTCTTCAGCCTGTGGGCCTCGTCTACCACCAGACAGGCCCAGGTGATGGAGCCCAGAATGGCTTGATCGATGGTAATCAGCTCATAGGACGTCAGCAGCACGTGGAACTTGATTGGAGTGTCTTTCTGCAAGAGGAGGAACAAAGAACAACATCAGAGCGTTTCAAATGTTTCCCGATTTAGACGGAGGATCCTTTGGTGAAGGAAAGTTATTTAAATACTCAACTGTCACAAAAATCCAACTCTTCTGTCAACTAAAGTTTTAAACTGGAGCCCGACCGATAAGCAGTTTTAAGGGCAGATGCCAATAATGATACTAGGGAGTAAAAAAATGTATGTATATATTA